TTTTGTGTATTTGAGCCCAGTGAAAGTGTCACTGAGGGAGGCAATAAGTCTGGCTCATCAGTCGGGAAGTTAAGTGACCTAAATACACTCATGCACTGTGAGTTGTGCTGCTTTTTTTTCTGGTGGTTTGGCTCATCTGACGTTTTCCCGGATTTGGTTATTTAAAGACACCACAGGCATTTTTTTTTTACAATTTATTAAGATGATCTTTTTTGATTCACAATGACTGTGAATGTCTGGCATCCAGTTCAGGGTGTAACTCATCTCTTGCCCAAAGTCAGCCAGGATAGGCTCTTGCACACCCATGAGGACGGATGGATGGATAAAAAATAAAATATGGATGGACAATGTGACTAAAAATAAAACTTCTATGAATTAACCATTTTGACACTTGAGGTAGCAGAAATATTTGAGTAACATGAAATTCAGTCATTGTAACATTTTAAGATGGTATTCAACGCGGTAATCACTAATAATCATTTTAACTTAGGTTTGCTCCCAATCAATTTCTATAGAAAAAAAAAACTAAACCCAGCAAATTATAGTAAAGATAGTCATCAAATAAGGGCACATTCAATTTAGAGCAGCGCTGTCCTACAACTTACTGTTGATGTGAGGCTTGGAAGAAAAAAAAGACTTTACAGTTGGGGCCCATACCATTCAGCATTTTGAGTTGGATGGATGGGTATTGTATAAATGCAAGTGACACAAGAAAATAGAAAAACAAAAACAAAAAACAAAAAATGAAGACTGTTAAAAGATCCACTACGTAGTTTGAATTGAAAAATCTGTTATTTAGATTTTCTTTTCCTGAAATTTTGACAAACAGTGTAAAGGCCAGAATTAATGAGATTCTCGACACTATCATTATTATTATTATTATTATTATTATTATTATTATTATTATTATTATTAGTGTAAGGCTAGCCAATTATTGTGTTGTCCAATTACATTCTTTGATCAAAAGACTTAAATATACATTTAGGGAACATTTATGGCATTGGTTGTTTAAAATAACAAATGTTAACTTTTGCATGATACTGTATTAATTGTGGGGCGGCCCGGTAGTCCAGTGGTTAGCACGTCGACTTCACAGTGCAGAGGTGCCGGGTTCGAATCCAGCTCCGGCCTCCCTGTGTGGAGTTTGCATGTTCTCCCCGGGCCTGCGTGGGTTTTCTCCGGGTACTCCGGTTTCCTCCCACATTCCAAAAACATGCATGGTAGGCTGATTGAACACTCTAAATTGTCCCTAGGTGTGAATGTGAGCGTGGATGGTTGTTCGTCTCTGTGTGCCCTGCGGTTGGCTGGCAACCAATTCAGGGTGTCCCCCGCCTACTGCCCGAAGACGGCTGGGATAGGCTCCAGCACCCCCCGCGACCCTGGTGAGGATCAAGCGGTTCGGAAAATGAATGAATGAATGAATGAATGTATTAATTGTTTGCTCAAATGTTAACTTTTGCATGATACTGTATTAATTGTTTGCTAAAAAAAATATTTAAAGCTCAACTATAATGTTACAAAATGTCACAATGTCTGTCAACTGTTTGGTGTTATTGTTTTGTTTGGCTTTTCTCCCGTCTCCATTGTGCAACGAATATTAAGTCAATTGACTTTTTTTCGGCATACAGTAATAAGGGCCAGCATATTTGAGGCAAATGCATGCACTGGTATGCCACACGGTGGCGTTGCAGGACAAATTAAGAGAGTGCACTGACGTTCAATACCAGGCACTTCATCGCTGAAGAAAGGTATAGACTGAACTTGTACTGTAGATGCAATATGTATGTTTATTGTTGGAACTGTGCTTGGGTGGTGGACTTTCTCCAGGTACTCCGGCTTCCCCCCACATGTGTTTATGATAGGCTATTTGAAGACGCTAGATGTGATTGTGATTGGAAGTACAGTAGTTGATTGTGCGCAGCGATTGACTGGCAACCAGTACGGAGTGCGCCCTGCCTCTCAGTCAGGTGGGACAGGGTATAGAAAGTGGATGGATGAAAGACATAAAAAAAGAAGAAAAAGGTAATGACTTCCACTGCCTTCACTCAAACCCTCTGAAGTGAAATCTGCCTCCAAAAAAACACAAAAAAACAAAAAACAATCTTTCAGACATTATGTTTGGGCAACAAAAAGCTTCCCTTACCAAGAGTACCCATGCAGCAGCATGCCCCAACCTTATGTTCTTGCCATGTCCATCTCTGCAAATGCTGTACTGCAAAATACAATGAGATGCTATGTATCCACGAATGCAATTCAAATGACAAGTGGAGTCGCTTTTTTTAGAATTTCATTTGATCATTCATCTATCTAAACTTGTGGCGTCCCTCAATGAGATGATTAAATTCTGAGGACTGTGTTTGTGCCAGTGGTGATGCTTTTCTTTTTTTTTTTTTTCCACGAAAGCAGTTTGTGTCCACAAAAGCTGTTTGAGGCACAGTATTTATCAAACTGGTTGCCAGAGTAATAGTACACACTGTCTGCTGGGTATCAATGAGGAGCCAGAGACAGCGACTATCTACACTCCAATGCCACCATCAATTAGCTGAAGAATAATGGTGTCACGTGTCATGCTGACAGTTCATGACAACACATTAAGATGAAAAAAAAATCCAACACCCAAAACGCATATGGGAAGAAGAAATGTGAGACTGTAAGGGGTTGGGGTAGTGATGATTTTTTTTTTTTTTAATTCTGAGACTATTTAAAGACACCTAGTCCATGCAAATGGGGCATGACACCTTACATTCGACCATAATGCAATTGTAAAGAGTCAATTGGAGACTGATTGAGCAGCATGGGCAAAAAAGTAGTTTTCACCAACAGAGACTGACTCATTACAAAAAAATCTTGATAGTTTACTTAAGTATCAAAAGCTTAGATATTTTGAATTGAAAATCAATTTTAGTATCAGTTGTATTGCTATTTCAGTAATGATCACTAGTTTGATGGGGGTAATGATTATTTTGTGTCCAATGGCAAGAATTTCAGTTCTTCTATACACTATGGTCAAAGGCAATGACTTTTTTACCTACTGATGACACAGCATCGGGAACACGGGGGGTGTGGGGGGGGGGGGACTTCTTTCTTTTCAAGCAAATATGGTGACGCGGCATTTAGCCGTTAAGCTACACACAAATGGAAAAAAAAATTGCTCACTGAAATGAAGTCAGAAAGTATAGATATTTGTAATTCCAGGTATAAAGCTATGCCTTTTTCATATATCTTTGATAATGGTCTGTTAAGATTTTTTATTTTTTTTTACTCAAATTTACTACACTGTCTTTTTGTGTATTCCTTTCCTTTGCTTTTAAATGTCCTCATATCTATTGGTTGTAATTGTGCTTAAATGTTCTCAGTGTACGTTCTTTTCTTAGTTTTAATGAAGTGCTTTTGTTCTTTGATTTGTGAATGTGAACATATCCAGCTGTTTCGTTAAAGCCAATGCTTTAGGTGTGGTGCTTTTGGTTGTGTGAAACACAGTGTGTTGACTTGTGTATGAAACGTGTTATATAAATAAAGTTACCTCGCTTTGCCTAATGGTGTTGTTTTCATCTCGACACAGGCGGATGAATAGCACAACATCAAGTCCTCAGCAGACAGCATTGAATCTAAACAAGGCCAATTGATACAGCACAATGGTTTAGGATTATACAACTTTGGGTCACCGAGTCACATGATAATATCGGCAGCAGCAGGGCATCATGGGGGGTAGGGACAGTTAAGTCTTGGTACGAGCACTCAGTCATGATCTCAGCCTGCTGCATGCTACAATACATGCACTTTGTGTGTTTGTCAACAGTGACAACCTCGACAGTCGCCGGCACAAATTTGTCAATCAGACTGTTGGTTGAAAGCATTGGCAGTTGCTCTTGACATGTTACAAAGCATTCACCCACCAATTTGCTGTTTTTTTTTAATGTAAACTATTTAGCATGGGTGACTAGTGTTTAGGTCATATGCCTCACAGTTCCAAGGTTAGGGGGTTTGAATCAAAGCTCTGGCCTTTCTGCGTGGAACTTGCACGTTTTCCCTGTGCCTGTGTGGGTTTGCCCTAATTACTTGGGCTCACATCCCAAAAGATGCTACTTAGGTTATTCGAAAAATTCTTCCCGTATCCTTTGATATGAATGTTGAGTGACCAAATTGCTGGTACAGTAACCCTGTGTTAACGAAAGAAAAGCCCACAGTGATTACAGAAATAACTTGAATCTGACAAAAGCGATTTGAAGTGTATTAAAATGGAATGAAAATCAACCAATGAAAATCAGTCATTAGTTTTGAATTGTATATGTATTTAGTCAAATAATTCTGTTGAACCGCAATTGAAATGCATTGTCTTTGATTTTCATATATTTGTATTGTTATTTTTGTCACATTCAAGTTATTTCTGTGACCACAGAGGGGTTTTCCTTCATTAACAGTGCGGTCCCAACATGTCAATGTGTGCGCACAAAGGGACGTGGGATAGGCTCGAGCTGACCTGCAACTCTTGATAATGGATGGATGGAACAGATAAAACAATTTCCACAAACTCTGGTGGATCATGGGCCAAGAAGAACTAATTAAAATCTGGAAAAAGTAGAGCAATAGTAAGGGGGAAAAATGTTAGTGCTTGCACAGACACAAGAAGATACACATTTTAAATGCACTACCTCAAATTTTAGGAGCAAAATGCCACCATTAGTCCACAATTGACTACACCACAGAAATGTATTAAGCCATGAAAAACACGACCATAAAGAACTTAATATTGGTGTGCCAGATCTTCAAGCAGCACAACTCAATGTGGCATATTTTAAGAGTGTATATGGCAGTGGCTACAATGCAAGTACAGTACAAAGAAAAGTTTCTTTTCTGATGCGCAATTTGTATTTGCAGTGACAGTATTTGTCCGGTTGCGGCTGTGAATCAAGAGTTGGCTTCAAGCATGCCTGCATTCTGCTTCAAATACCCATCATTGTTCATAGACACAGTCCTCGCTATTTATTTGAACACATAGATTCATTGAACAAGACATCCATTTATTTGCATTACTTGCTGAGAATTGTACACATACACTTCAGTGTAGGAAAACCAAAGTCTCAAGACACTGTCTCGTGGTGAGGTGTATTGTATACTCTGGTAATACAAAAATTAGAGGCAACTTCCTGATGGCGCTCCTGTACGTGGCCCCTACAGTAATACACTGGTCAACCCTGCTTAGCAGGAAATCTAAGAGGCTTAGTACACTAATGCCCAAATGGCCGCAGGTAGCTACAATGGCAACAAAGAGCCTCTCTGATATCCAACAAAAGTCAGTGATTATAAATCATGAAAAAAGAGGCACAAGTTCATATTTTAAGAAGCTGCGTGGATCGTACAAAACCCTTTACTTTTAAAATGGCACCAACTATCAATTTCTCGGTAGAAATATTAATACTGTACATCAGAATATAGAAGCCTCTTTTTGATGGGAGATAAAGGACAGTTTGGTTTTAGCAGCAGGGCATGAAACCTAATTGTGGACAGCGATTTGCTCTTACACACAAAAAGGTTTCTTTATCGAAAATCCCCGCTTTAAACCACAGGAGGCGCTTCACTGGAAACATAAACCGCATGTGCAAAAGTCACTGAATTCATAATTTAAACTATTCAAAAGGCATAATAAGCTTGCAGCTCTTTCAAGTCATTCTGGGAAGTGTTCCATAGCAAGTATACGTTCATCGGGTAACATTTCATTCCACGTGGACATTAAAAAAACAACCTGAAGACTTTAGTTTTCATTGCATCATTTAACATTAATTAAGAGGAGTCACTTCATGGCTTGAGTCCAGCTCTCAGCAGCCTTTAAGGTGGGGTAGTGCAGTAAGTTTGTCAACTTTTCCCAAAGCTGCGGCACTTTCGACCCCCTTGAGCCACTCTTTGCACTTCCTCATCACCGTCTCGTCCACGTCTCCGTCCTCCTCCTCATACTCCACATCGTCATACTTGTGCTGGTCGTTCAAGAGCGATATTTTAACAATGGCCGTGATGTCCTGCTCCGCATCCTCCACTTTGGTCTCCAGCGCGCCCTTGGAGCTCCCGTGCGACGTTTTTTTGGAAGGGAAAACGCGCCTGTGCCGAAAATCCGCCGACGCGCAGCATTTCTGCTGCTTCGCCAGCATCTGCTTTTCCAAATTTCGTTTCTGAATGACAAGGATGGCCTCTGGCGTGAGGCTCAGCGTGAACTGGATCTCCTTCTTGGATGCGTCCTCTTTGCTTGCGAGCGGTCTGCCGGAGTCCGCGGAGGTGGAGCGCCTCACTCCTGCAGTTGAGTCCTGAGGTTTGGTCGATGTCAGCCACGAGTGTTTTCCCTGCACCTCCTTCTGCGACGGGTTTTGACTCTTCTCCTGTTGCGTCTTGCGCCCCAAATTCCTTAAATTAGCTGTTGACCACGATGAGGTCTGCTTCTCCTTCCCGGAGTCTCTCTTCTCAACATTGGCTTTCTTCTTGCCGAATAGGTCCCTTGCAGGAGAGGGGATCTTCTGCTGGAGATTAATAGGCGGGAAAGGCATTTTCAGGACGTAAAATGCGTTACAAAAATGTGCAAAAAGTGCTTCGAAGTGCAAAGCGACGACCGGCACTCTAAGTGCATCATCCAGGGCGAGTACACCTGTTGTCCACACAAGTGAGCGTGGAATTCCGCTGTCGGCGCGCTCGGCCCAAGCCTTTATGGTGGCAGAAGCGAGGGGGCGTGGTCAGCAGAGACGCCAAACAAAGGCACGGAGAGGAGGCGCTGATGTCATAAAGCTATTAACTTCCGATGAGAGACATATCACACGCAACAAAACATGAATCATACATGCCTAAGTGCGAGAGTGAGTGGGATCTGCTTCATTTCTGGTGCTGCCAGTGGTCATCATACTACACGAAAAAAACACAAACACGAAAGAACTGACTACTATACACCAAACGTTGAGCAACACCAGTGATAATGGTTATGAAAAGGACAACATTTTTGCGAATTATTGATCCTTGTCTCATCATGTGCTGATGAGACAGATTTAATATTTTGATGGACTTCAATGGTCCTTTCGATCACAAATCTCCATTATTTCTGAATAACTGAGTAACGTGACTCGAAACAATAGGCATAGAAGTGATAAAATATATAAAATATCAGGATTCATTGATACCATCAGAGGTATAGTATTGAAAATGCACAAATTGCTTTAGTTTAGGTTTAAATTGGTGGGTAGGTAAACATTTCATATTTTGTTTCCAAAAGCTTTCAGTGATATTCAGCACCAGTGCAAACACCAATTTCCTTTATAAAGGTAGACGAAACATTGATTTCTCTTCTTCACAGATTTCACCACTTTTAACTCTGAGTCCTAAAATGGATTCAAAGTTGAAGTGCTTCTGTGTGAGTGCGAGAGGAAACATTGCATCTGCATGTATGTACATCATTTATTAAAATCTGCTTGATTTTTTTTCTTTCTTTTGTTTTTTTTTTACAATTTGCAAGACAATTTGCACTCAATATTACCACATGGTTGCACGATAACCTCAGATGGCATTTATAATGCTTCAGTGTACAGCTGATCACACAGGAATGAGTAAGAAAAGGCACACATAATATGTATGGATTATTACTGCAACAACACTTCTCCTTGATTTGAACATGCAAAACGTTTTTATACTGTATTCCTTCATAGCTTTTTTAATGGCCAGCACTGTTCAGGATGCCACCTTATTCTGACCTCTGGATTAAACGTAACTCCGCAGGAAACAGTTGGGACACTCTGGCAGATGCGCATCTGCCTCCTCTAACTCTTGGTGAAGAAAACTGACCCCCCCCTCCCCCCCACACACACACAAATGGACGTGCCTTCATTCTACAGCATTACTTACTTGATCCCTCAAATTACATGACGAGGGTATGGTGCAGAAGGATTTGCTTGTCACTTAACAAATTACTTGAACAAGTTGTACTGAAGGGAGAATGTCCATAATCCTTTGCAGAAGCCTAATGAAAAAAAGAGTGGGGCTTTGCACAGAAGGAATTGCAATGCAGTTGTTTGGTTTACAGAAAGAGCAAAACATGTGATATGATGACTTCTTCAAATAAAGCAAGCTTTAAAAATCATGAGTTCAGTTTAAGACAAATGTGAGGCCGTGTTTCATACAAAAGCACATGCCTTCCGTCACCATAATTCGTACATCTGCACCTAAGATGGGGGTAGCTAAGGTAATGAATCTTGCGGCGCATGTTGTCATGACAACTCAATTCTCAAAGGCTATGATGCCATCATGCTGGAGCATACGGAGATCCTGTTGGAAGCTATATTGGGTTATTAGGTCACGCCAAAACCACATTGCTCAGAAAAGCGTATTTAACGGGGTCATTGTTGCGTCTAGCAGAAAATCCAATTTAAAAATACTCAATTTTAATGTAATTTACTGAGTGGGGGAGGGGTAACGTACACAAAGGCTCCAAACATATGCTGCTGTTTTTACACTGTTGAACAGGAAAAGATCAAGAGCTGTGGATATAAAATTTGCCAGTGTAGAATCACTGAAGCAGTGTTTCAAATGCCCATGGGTATATAATGTAATTTCTATGAAAACATGGCAGGCAGCTGCTCATATTAACACAAAATGGAAACTGTGGTTTGGCGGCAGTGCCCTGATCCTATTTTGAATAAAGTTGAAGAAAACATATGTCATGGAAGTTTGGTTAAGACATAAATATGATAGTAGTATTTAAGTATGTTTTTTTTCCCCAGCACTTATGTTGTAAATTACTATGCACATCATGTTCAAATTATTTTATGAGTACTCAAAACAACCTTAGCCAATCTGAAATATCTATTAAATCATTAAATATATTGAGCAATGAAGGCACTCACAGCATCTAGTACAAAAGTCAAATTTGATGAAAGTTTAAGACCTTCGGTTGAATCAAAAACGGCTACTATGTTAAGGAGCTACAGTGTAAAAAAAAAGGGGGGGGGGCACACGACTATATACTGTACAAAGTTACTCTTGTTGGAGTTGCATATAAGGACCAGTCTTCACATGAAAGTGTGGACTCCAGAATCCTAGCTCAGACAGGTAGTGAAGCATTTCATCACAGCATCTCTATAGGGGGAGGGAAATAGAAAATGGTCTAATTAGATCAAATAGACAAATGTAATTTACAATGAATCTAATATGTTGAGACAGCCTTGTACTGTGATGGATTACGGAACACACAAACCGAAAAATTATCCGGGGATAAATGGGCTGACATCCCGGAGGACAGAATGCTGTCATGCATATGAAATGAAAAGTGACAAAAAAGCACTTCCAGCCTTTCTTACTCTGATTCGGGTGGGGCATTTCATAAATAAGTGAGTGTGTTATGGCGGGGAAGCTCCACATGCTCATCGAGATGGCGCGGCCCCCTTTTGCCAGGTGCGCTGTGTTGAGCAATGATGCAAGAGAAGTCATTGCCATGGCAACCGCAAAGCATTGCCATGTCCATTCCCCTCACCACATTCTGTTCTTGCCACGAGAGTGTTGCTATGCAGACTTTGCCTGAAGCCTCAGTTACATTTCAGTGGAGGAGGTGTGAAGCCCGTCAAGGTTAAAAGGAGAAGAGGGGGTGAATCACAACCTGGCTTGGGGGGAAGGGAGGTCAGTGTGCAAGAGAGGAGACTTGTTCCTTTTCAAGCTTTGGCTATGTACACCAGCATCCTCTTGTATCAGCCTCAGGTTTGTTTTTAGTTTCTCTTGATGCTATTTTTTGCATCACCTCACAACTCCACGCATAAATAATACAGCTCTGAGACCTCCCCCATTTCTTATGAAAATGTAGCGCAATGTTAGCCTCAAAGCACTGTGGGAATTGCACATATGGCGTGTTTCTGTACTTCACCTACTTTAAATGAGGGAGCTTATAAACAGGCAGCCAGGTAAAATACATTAAAGGATCAAGTCCTCTTGCCATGTGGTGTCATGGGTGGCCCTAATTCAGTTTGAGCGTTTCATAAAAAGTCTGGAGAGAACCTCCGAAACATCGACAGGAAAATGGTTTTAGAAGCTTGCCTGTGTTTTTTGACAAAATATTTAAACATTAAGGAAAGGGGTAAAATTAAGGAGTCAATGAATGAGAATTAGAATGTCAAACTTTGGTTCTCAGGAATTTGGTTTGTGCAAGGGCAGCATGCAAGACGGTCTTTGTTTTGTTGTCAGTGTTTGGGTTGGGGGAGGGGGACTATGCGGAGGTTATAGCAGGTTTCTCAGCTGTTGGAACGGATTAGATGGTCAGCAAAACATACACAGCACCCAGGCTTTGATGGGTGGAGGGATCCACTATCCAAATTGGACATAATCCTGCCTGCATCTGGATTGGCAAAACAACATCACACCTCGGGCTTGTGCTTGGAGGATGGCCTTATGGAGGAATGTGACAGGTGAAGTCAGCAGTCATGTCCGTCTCAATAGTCAAGATTGGGGGAATACAAAAAAATGCTTTCAGTGTCAGTATGTGTTCAAGACATTTAGACTCTCCATTGTTCACATATCAAGTGGGGGTAACGGGTTCATGTGATTATGAGATTGAGAATTCATATTGATTTTGAGCATTCACATTCGGCTCTAATGAAAACGTTATGTGGAGCATCACCTCTTTGAGGAATAAAATAATCACAGTGATGTCAGCCCAACACTGGGCAGGGGAGTGGCTGGGCTTTGAGGTAAAGCTGGTTCAAACATCGTATTGGGAGAAAAAAAATATTTTGATAGTAAGACAGAAGAAAACAAAGTGCATGTGAAACAACAAGCAGCAATTTGCTTGACAAAGTGGGGTGAATGAGTGTCAGAGGGAGGGAGGAGGATTACCACCAAATGGGAAAAGCAAACAGTGGGACGTTTATAAGTAAATAAAAACATGTTTTTCAGTGGTCTCCATGAGAATTCTCGCTCGCGTCATTCAGAGATTAAAGATGAAAACCATCGCGTGATGACCGCAACAGACAGTCTTTCTCATGAAAAAAGTATGTTTTGCAGCACGCTTTCAGAGCCGACAATTTGCTCCAATACACTTGGTATCATGATTGTCTTACCTGGCAAAAGGAATGTAGGAGATGCTGTACCTGAAAGACAAAACAAACAGAACGGACTGTTCAACATAATAATAATAATAATAATAATAATAAAGCAAGATCATATATTAAGGGCAAGTGAGCATTGCAAATTTGCTCCTACATGCTGAGTATAGCTCCAATTAATCAGAACTCATTAGCTCTCAGCAGAATTTGACATTTTACCATTTGCTTGATTTAAATAGGGACCTGGTGGGTTTGTAAAGGTTAACCATGACACCAAAGAAAACAACAAAAAGTTGTAAATGAACTGGAGAGTGTGATGTAACGAGGGATTAACATCATCATTGTAACGGGTTAACAGGACACCAATCTTTGCGTAAATTGAAGAGATTTCAAAACATGACATTATGCCATGAGATCTTGGGCTAAAGAGTCTGTGGGCTATTTTATCGAGTTCCCTGATTACACATTATACTGCAGCTCAAACATGAGCGGAATCTGCAGCAGATGAATGATTGACAATAGCTGGAGCTAGATCATCATCACACTGGACAGTCCGTTAACGGGCATCTTTTCGGTGTGAAGAATGGAAGGTTTGCATCCTGTCTCCTATTGTGTCCACATCCACCATAAAGTCATCGAATAAATTCAAGTAAAACGATTTGGTTAAGTAGATCTTTCACCAAAGTCTGACTTATTTGTCCTTAGGAAAGTCAGACTATCTAGGACAGTCACAGACACACTTTGTTTAGGATCATGTGATCCTGTCTTAGGTTTACAGCATTCAGCCTGAAGTCTGAACTTTGCCCAGTTCAGTGTGTGGGCCAGTGGCCATGTTTCACTCAGACAGCTCAGCTCCCGCGTGGGCGTGTACTCTAACACAGTTTCTGTTCAGAATGCGCCTGGGATGTGCGACTTGTGGTTTCCATGGTGATGCCTTGGGGGAACGCAGGCAAGAGCGGAAGTGATTGTTCCATACGTAGGTGAAATCGACGGTGATTGCGACATGGACGGTTAAGCTGACGAAAGGCTCTTTTTCTATCCACAGAGTTGCCCAGGGGCATTCACTGACATCCTTTGGCCACATTGTGCTTATATGCTCATTAATGCTCAAGCAAGTAATGACATGCTTACATTCATAACACTCACAGGATTTCACGTGTATTGCCAAGATAGACCTTCACCTTGGTGTTCCCCAAAGTGGACGTTCGTGTTTGTATTTTGTCAGCAAAACTATCTGCTGCAGCAAAGCGAAATTCCACATGGGAAAGAAACTTGCTACACTGTACTGTACTGAATTCACCATGCCAACATTGAGTAGTTTGATTCCATTTAGTTCTGATAGTGATCAGGGTTTTTCCTGGGTTCAAAATGGCGTGCCGGCTGTCCCCCGCTAATTTTGTACCTCCCCCAGCCAGACCGATTGATATTGCTCAGCACAGCGTAAAACTCCAACTGTGCTGTTTGAGGGATTGATGTCCCTCTACGGCAGCTTTGTATTTTAAATCAAGTTGCAGACTGTGCCACTATGGAGGCGCTATATCAGTAGCAGTGCACAGGAAAGGCCTGATGCATGTACCATAGAAGAAAGAATCCTGTTTTTTTTTCCCCCTGCTAGTCTATGCTATCGGCATCCTGATTTTCCCTGCTGAATGGTACAAACAGGTAAATATTGCCTGTTTTTTGCATCCCAGCACCTTGTGTTTATTCAAATAAAAGTTTTCTTCGTGTCAAAGTAATGATTTTTAGCATTGCAGATATGGCAGGGAAAATCAGTCATTTGTTCATTTTTTTTAAAAAGCGATCTCGCAAGGAGGAAAGCCGAGTCCAGGTGAAACAGAGCAGAGAAATGAATGCAACTGGCAGTTAAAACGTAATAATTCCTGGTGGTGTCGTGTGGAAATTTGGTCTGAAACACTGGTAATAGCGAGGGTCGGAATGCAGGCCAGGATGAGTCGGCGAGGCGAGGCTACATAAATCAGTTTCCAATAAGGAGCACAACAGCGCAAAGTCAACGTGTACATGATTGAAATATTTTTTTTATTCCTCTTTCCATATCGTCTTAAAAATACATGAGCCAGTGGATTTGACAATCAGTGGCTAAATGAATTTACCTGGCTCAGGCATACTGAGGAAGGCACGCACTGTTATTTAAGCCAAAAGCACCACACCCAAAGACAGCAGGCAATCGCTGCCTCGTTTGTGAGACAGTCTTCAACCAACTACAGGCTGGACACATTAAAAATACATGAGGTGACTGATATTCACAAAGCACCAGAAGAGAAGGTGAAGTATATTAAAGATGGTCGTACCCAAAAATACTAAACTAATTAAGCAATTTTGTTTTTTTAAACGGAGGACACTGCAGCCTGCTATTGCGGCACAGGTGGACATGGACCACAGAGCGATTGAAGGCCGCTTCAAAATCTGTGTCTCTCTCAAACAAAAGTGACCCCACCACACAAGCTATCAGTCCATCATTCTTCGTGGTAAGCTTTAATAATAAGTTTTAATTTAACATGATAATAGTCATATTGTTATTGGAACTCTTAAAGTATGTTTCCTGTAAAAGAAAGTGAGTCCGTTAAATTCATAGATATTCCTAGGCTCATGGTCAGGATGGTGCCACATGCCTCAATTTGAGCCTGGAAAAACCCTGCTGATTTATATCATTTCGATAGTTAAGATGTTAAAAAGTGTGATATGTGAATTAGACCAGCCATTCAAGTGTATAAAGTAAACAAAAACATTTGAGTGACCAAAAAAAAAAAATGTTAATTTGTATTAAAAGATATTATGGCAGAAGTAGAGTCTTGCAAAAACTTTGTTGTGTGTATAAACACCTGCCAGGACCACATACTGTCTGAGTGAGACTAAAGTAGGTCCACGTTGAGTCAGGCGCCACCTGGCCAAAACCATGCTGACCTACCTGGCAAACAATCAGACAAGACTTAAACTAAGCCTACCCGCTTCCATCTAAAGGAATCTGATTCACTGCAGCGTTGAAGATTGCTCTATATGTGGGTAAAATAACAATAGAGCGACTTGTTAACTATACTGTACTGACAACTCGCTGACACCTTACGATGCATTATTGATGCATCCCCTAGAGATCAATGTAAAGCAACTATCAGCAGTAAGATTGAATCAGCAAACATCTTAAAAAACAGCTCAAACACATAGCTTCACTATGGGCATCCTGTAGTTAGTGGCAGTATTGCCAGAGCTGAGTAGGTCATTTTAATATTGCTCATATTTATCATATCATCTTATTATATGCTACCCGCCACCCCGCCAGAGTTTTGGACTACCGGCAGTTAGCAGGCCTAAGCACAATTTCAGCAGGATTTTATTTCTTTTGTTTTTTTTTTTGTTTTGTTTTGTTGTTTTTTTTTTTTTAGTTATTTTGTTTTCCCGATTGAAGAGTACTATCCTGTTGACATTTACACATTTATACTGGTTGTTCACACTTACCACGTCATTGCTAGAAACTGGAGAATACAAAAAATGATGGCCAGTCCCTTTTTGTGCCACTGTAACAAAAATAAATGTGCCTTTTAGGCATTGTAAAGACTCCATAAAAAACATTCAAGACAGTTTTACCTGCGGTCAACTTACCCAAAACACTGCGCATAATGTTAAGACGAGGCAGAGCTGTTAGGGAAATGAAAAAGATGTTTTCACTATCATTAACTTAATGAGGTCTTGCCCTTAAAAATGTCTGAACAGGGTTTATTAAAGTGTGCATGCCTACCAAGGGTGGACAAGCACTAGTTAGATGAATTAAGACCTAATGAAAACATTAAGCTAGAAGTGCCAGTAATAATGTTCTTACCAGCATAACAATGGTTGCGATAAGTCGTGTTGGCTCAAACATGCGCTTTAACTGCTTTAGTGGTCCCATAAGGAAGCAGGTGCTATTGAGGACAAAGCAGGCTGTTTACACAACATCTTAAAACATCAAACAAATGTTAATGGTGAATTTCATTCAAGATTTTCAACCAGTACAATAAAAATAATACATTCCAATTCAAGAAAGCAGCATACATACAGAGAAACGAATGTGGCCACTGGCCAACCTAACTTATAAAACACATTTAAAACCCAGTGCCAGGGGAACACATTCAAAGCTTCCTGATACTTTGATGACGTCAGTGAATGTAACCTGACAGAACATTCCCCCACTGACGAAGCATAGCTCTGTGCTCAGCTGAGCTGTGAGTGGGAGGATGGTGCCTGTGGAGCGTCACGTCTGTTAGATGAGACTCTGTCGGAGCTGTTTTGACGCTCGAAAGGCCGATAATCATACAGCAGCCGAAATACACACACATCATACTGTATTGAGCGCAGGGAAATCCAACACTGTACAGTACACGCTGTTGGTAAAACTCTAATCTGAACAAATTATCTGGTAATATTGTGATGGACAAGAGACAATGCACAATACGCAACAGCGATGGAAGCCATAATTTTTTTGTAACATCCCCCATGAGGGATGTCCCCCATCATGACTAAATCTTCAATTCATTAGTTACATGACAAAATGGGTCACCTTAAGGTGACCCACAACAGTGACATACAATAATAAGAATGTTAAAATTCCTTTCTATGATCGTGTCTTGCTTGGGATTAGTAACCTCTGACCTATTTTCCTAATTGAGTATACAGTAAACCCCATGGACATACGGCACGGAAAACAATGTAAAAAGCTGTCAATACCAAGGTGTGAAATGCTAGGTTTTGAACCTGAATTGCCTTGTTTTAACAATGAATATCATCATCTCTTCTAGCAATAGATTCATGTATTATGAATGACATGTTCAAATGCCACCACTTAGTAGACAAGTGGAATATGACCACTTCAATAGGGACAACTGAAAACAAATTCAACTATTGATTCCCTGCTTTCCAAAGTTGGTGGCAGGAAACTATACAGTCCAAGTACAGATACCAATGGCCACTGGAGTGACAATATTTCTTCGCACCCCTCACCATATGTCTCTGTGATTAAGTCTCACCTGGCAAGAGCTGCAACATTACCCAGTGTGTAGAAAACCGCAAAGAGTTTGATTCCATTTGGGAGGAACAGCAGAGCTGAGCCCTGAAATGGAAACAAATCATTTCTGCTATAACCAAACCGCAAAATAGCGAGGGAACACTATATATGATCATATATCCTCAAATAGCGGAATGCACTCGAAAGAGTAGATGCCATGTCCCAGTTGGTTATCGGCTGTCAACTTAAATCAACGCCTTCCCCAAATAGAACATTTATTATTGCCACATTTCCAAATTATTGTCGAGCAGAGCGACTGTAAGTGAATAGAGTGACATCAACAGCAATTGCAATTTACAAAGAAGAATAAAATGCAAACAAATTATGGGCTTAATTTTGTATTTTTTACAAGATAGTCACAGTTTCTAGGGAGAAGCCCAAAGACAACTTACTATTCAAATCAGCAATGGTGATATTAACCATCGAAACTTTTCTTGTGGTTTCTCGGTTAAAAATTTGTTTCCGCCTGGAATCAGCTCAGGAAACCATCACATCTTGCCGCTTAACTGATCAACTGTAGTAATAAACTAATGATAAAGAACAAAATACAAGTGAAATGATAATGCTATTTTTTAAGGGGCTATTCGCCAAGAAATCTGTATAAATTGATAAGAAATTGCTGTTGAGCATTTAATGAAAAGTCAACAACACTATAAATGGTAAACCCACAATCCATTTTGGGTCTTGACCCTAAATTCTAGGACATATTAACTACAAAAACACAAAGACTGTTCTCTTGATACCATTAATTTACTTTGGCGCTGCATCTCCAGGGTATTTATGAATATACACCAGCTAACTAATGAAAAATTGAAAGCAAGGCGGCAACACTCACGAGTATTGAGCACAAGATGCCTGAGGCGAAGCATATGACGAACCATTTCACCCTGGTGCTGTAGCTGAGCGAGGTAGCATCAAGGACCTAGTGAGAACAATAGAAGGAAGTCATAAGAAAAGCTCATGTCATCCACATTGAGGCCTGCACACTTCCTGATGATGTTTTATCCATGTTGAATTTGCCTATATCATAAAAGACACCATGCCAGCTGACTTCAAGTCACGGGATATAACACAATTAAGGAAAATTGTAATTTCGATATTTTAGAATGGGTAAGTCACATGATGTACTCGAGGATGAGATACAGTTCAAAATTTCTTGCTTGGTTGACAGGGGGTGCTTTCTTAGTCAAAATGAGTTTCGCCTCCATTGCTTTCCAAGGTAATAGCCGAACACTTTCGAATTGAACATCATCGACATGTGAATTGGGACGCAGCAATCCAATCCAGTTATTTTTTACAACAAGCATCAACAAATAAATATCGTGTCGAGAGTGCAATGTCAGAATCTTACCTTAATTTATCCTCCTTTGAATAGCATGTAATAAGCATCCAGGAACAAAGAGTATAACAGCAACATATTAACAGCGTCAAAGAGTATAGAAAAGTATAACATAAATTAAAGGACGCCATTGATTGACTGAACTCATGCCAAACATTAGCTGTCACAGCTTCGACAAGCAACAGTTGACATTATGACAACCTTTTAGACCATAAGGAATATAATGATGATCAGACCACTACGGTATTGAGTACAGTAAAGGCAAAGCTTGTTATGACATTTGAAACTGTTAGCATTAGCATCGTAGGCTGACGTTTACTGCCATTATACATTTACCTGAGCCGTGAGACCGAGCTCTTCGTTCTCCTCTCGGCCGTTTAGCACACGACGAAGCTTGTCCATGGTCTCAGAACGATGACAAATTAATTAAAAGCCCAATTTGTAGAATTACTTCTGTTCATTTGGAGAATATTATCAAATGTTCGAAAACTAGGAACTTCCTGGCTTCCCCGAATCACCAAATTCTTACCTACTGACTTGAGGTCAAAGCAATACAGAAGTTACGTTATTCGTGAGTGTAATCATGGTGATATAACTGATTCCTGATCAGTTTGGTCAACCAGAGAGTTAACTTCCTCTTAGCCACTCTTCCACTTCCTGTTAAACGTCTGCACGAATTTTTTTGAAACTGTAATATTGAATTTGTGGTGTTGTATTGACAGTGCCAATCTTGATTATATGTCTGTGTTTTCTAACACATTTTAATATATACTGTTAAATAAAATGCTGAAGTTAAAGCTCCATGAAACTACATAACGACTGTATATTTGTTGTCCCATATACAGTATTGTCGCTCTCTAGTGTACAAAGGCGGTAGCACAATTTAAAACACGCGTTTATGACTCACGACTATTCTCCCTTGATTGTCTTGATTTTTTTTCTCCCTAATTCGAATGTAAATTAGACGCTTTATTGCTATTGCAGACTGAATGCACAATTACAAACATTTTGCAAAATTACATTTCTGACAAAGCCCGACTCATGCACGGAGGCATAACTGCATCCCCATTTAAAGTATTATTTTTAAACCAATCGCAGTTTTAATCACCATCCACTTTCTGAACCACTTTATCCTACAAGATCGCGGGGGGTGCTGGTGCCTATCCCTATCGAGCAGTAGGCGGGGGGACACCCTGAACCGGTTGCCAGCCAATCGCAGGCCACACACAGACGAACAACCATCCATGCTCACACTCACACCTAGGGGCAATTTAGAGTGTTCAGTCAGCCTGCCATGCGTGTTTTTAGAATGGGGGAGGAAACCGGAGTACCCAGAGAAAACCCACGCATGCCTGGGGAGAACATGCAAACTCCACACAGGGCCGGCTGGAGCCGGGATTGAACCCATGACCTCTGCACTGTGAGTTTGACGCGCAAACCACTGGCCCACCGGGTACCCAGCTTTTCCCAGAACTAGAAATATTTATTATGACAACCCTTGAGTATACACATACATACAACAAACAACAACTTTGTCCAGAAATGGATGCCACATTAAGACTATTCCACAGAAGCACAAGAGAAATAATGAATTAGGTTAAGGCTGAACCACAGATCGCATTGCGAGTGAAAGGGATCTTTTTTTGCACCTGGGACAAATTTGCATCCGTCTACAATCAGATGAAAGTGTACCTGGAGCATTTATAGGCTGGTCACGAGAAGGAAATAAAATTAAATGGTCACAATTAAAACCTGAGAGCATGGTCGTGGAAATGTGAATGTCCGGGCATACTTTTCTCCCTCTAGTTTGGACAACTTCAAATTATCTGAGGAAGTCTGTATGTATACAGTATACAGTATATTTATATATCACGAGAGTTAGTCCTGCACTGTTTTTCTTAAAATTAAATTTAGAGTTCATAATGCAGTATCCAACTTTGACCACACGGTGACGGAGTTGCACATAAATACCTTATGTTTTCCTCTCAAATGTGTTAATATTTAAATTTATCATTTTTTTAAAGGAAAAAAAGATTAATTTTTAAAAATACAAACTTAATTATTAATTTCAGGGTTATAGAGGTTTAGAGTGGCATGCAAGCCTAAACATATCTTAAAAAGACCAAAAAGGAAGAAAAAAAACATAATTTTTCCTTTTTTTTTTTTTTAATACGCATATTTTAACTTTAAATGGCAGTGAGCTTACATGTGTTTAAGGTACCTATAGTTTAGCTGTTTTTCTTCATTATTTAGATTCTTCCTCATAATCGCCCCGCCTCCATAGTATCCCGCCTGTGACGTTTGCAAATGTAAACTTTTTCTCCGCAGAGGCCAACGTGATTTGGTATCAACAAATCTCCAAGCTGCGTCAAAGCTCTGCTGGTGTGATGTGGGTCAGTTGTGCAGTCGAGTCTACGCTGGCATAATTATTAAGTGGGTAGTTTTCCGACTGCTTGGACATAGACGTACAGAAGGAAAATGGCAAACAAGCTGACTTCAAATGGCTGGTTTGGATTTATACTCTACACCGCAACCATGGCACTGACTGGTTGGAATTCCAGCCGCGGTAATGTGTTTATTTACTTTTAATTTGATTTATTTCACGCCTCTACACAAGCAGGTTTTACTCGATCCAAGAATGAAATTGTACGTAACTGCAGCTGTAACAAATTTAAATGCCTTTCCAAGTGCCAACCTATGTAGTACTTGAAGAACTCAAGAGCCAAACCTTTTCCTTTCATGGGTTAATCTGCGCGTCTTCATCTCACTGATGTAATCAACTCTCAATTGTTTCTTTGCGAAACATAATCGAACATTTTGTTTACACTTTGGCTGATTCGTCAGGATGAACGTAAACATGGTGCAGATCCGTATTACAGTGATTGCCAACCCTCACTGTAAGATTTCGGGTTTTTTGGGTCATAAACTATATTAGAACATTATCCTCATTTTTTGTTTACATTTTATTTTCTTCTTCTTACGTAGCATAATGATCCATTGAGTTATTGGTGAGGTACACTAAGGAAAATAAGTCTTGTGCACGTTTTTAAACTGTTGTGTTGGATCTTGGACTCTGTTTGAAGGGTATCTCTGACTTTACAATGTTTGAACCAAATAAACAGTTTATATCAACAGCCTTGCGATATGTAAATATTTGCTTTTTTTATTGGGTTTTTTTTTCACAACCTGGCCTTAAAAAAAGCAAGATTGTGTTATATAAAGTAATGAGTTATAAGTGACCCTAAAACACGTCACAATAGCACAATCATGTATAATCTGTATATATATGTATATATATATATATATACACACACACACACACACACACACACACGGTATGTAATTCGTTTTTTTTCCCTTACAAAACATGGGTTTGATAAAACCTAACATGATAATGTGACTGTGTAAACAGCCCAAGAATCCATCAAGCATCTCCAGCGGCCTGTCAGGAATTCTGAGCCTCTGGTTGTGCCGGTCCATGTTTCAAAGATGTACCTCAGCCCGGATGAGCTAAGACGGCTCCATTTTAAGACCACCACGGACTCTATCCAGTTGTCGGAAGGACATGAGGCAAAGTTCAGCTGCTCCATTGATATTCCTGATACCCAGCTGGAACCCACCATTTTGTGGATGAAGAATGGCCAGGACCTGGCTACTAATATGCAGGTACTAATCAATGAACTGCAGACCATCACAGACACGGCAACAACGCTCCTTTCCACTGTCAGGTATGTGCCCCGGAGTTATTTTTGACGTTCTTCCGCTTTCATGGTGCACTCTCTTTCATGAAAAGCCAAAAAAAGCCAGTTATTTTGTGTTGGGAAATATATTCATTTTTCAAACATCTCTGTTCCGAAATATTCGATTTTTTTTTCCTGCATGTTCAAACATTAGATCATGAACAGAACAGCGAAGATGATTGAGGAGTTATGTCATTGTATTCCAGAGTGACATTCTATCTGACTACTCTGAAATTGTTGTACACAAAGCCTATTTTGGGCATATTTGGTTGTTATGAGGTGCATTTATTATCGATCTGCAACTGACACCCAGAACTAAAAACAAACAACAATAACAACAACAAAAAAGCTTGACCTTCAGTTTGTTTTGTATATTTTGGAAAATAATTAAAAAAAACAAATAAACGTTTTACCTTAAAATGATATGTAAGTTTTTGTTTAGTCAATTGTAGTGAAAGTATAAAGTGATGTTAGAAAAGTAACTTTCTTTGAAATTACAATGAAAGTATAATCACTGTTTGTTCAGAACAGCTTTTGATGTGTTTTTGAAAAAGAAACCTGACTTGACTTCAGTTGGAAGTGTTCTATTGTTGTCATTGTTTTTTTTTCCTGTTTGACTTATCGTACTGATACTTTTGTACAAAGTAAAAGGGTATACTGTACACATGCAAGGGAAAAGCTCTTGGAAAAATCCACAGTAGGAGGTGAGGGAGTGAGAGAAGAACTTGTTTGGGACCCACATTTCTTTCTGGATGTTTATATAGCTTTAGACTGCATTTTACTTCAATTTTTAGGGTTGAATTGAACTGTTTGAGTTTCCAGGGTGACATCTTAAAATGTGTCACAGCATTACCCAGGTGCAGAGGGCAGATGCTGGTGAGTACCGCTGTAGGCTCAGCATCGGCAACATGATGGTGGAGTCTCACCCTATCACCATCAGGGTTGAAGGTAAATCAAAAGTGGCATTGGAGTCTTGTTTTAGTGCTCCGCAGTCATCATGCTCGTGAATTTTCTTTGTAGGCCTTCCAACCTTTATCCAGCAACCTGAGGACAGAAACATAACAAAGGACACTCCTTTTAATCTGTCATGTAAGGCGGTCGGACCTCCAGACCCCATCAAGATTCGCTGGCTGCGTGATGGCGTACCTGTTGGTGACTACCATAGATCGCCCAGCACTTACAATGTGGAAAGTAAGAATTTTTTTATTTTATTTTTTTTACACATTTGTTTAACATTGAGAGATTATGGTTGCAAAACATCAATACAATGCAAAGCAAAGAGTATTTTTTTTTAAACATCAAAATCAGTTATTCTTGTTATCATTATTTCTGCACGAGTGTTAGTAAATAATTTGTTTCTCTAGGTGTTAGTCCTTTGTTTTGTAGACAAAACTTAAAAACATTGATTTTTTTTTTTTTTTAAGAATGCATCTTTTAGACGAGAGTCTTATACAATCATGTAATTGGTTGTGTGTCTCTTAGCTCAAGTTTGTGTTGCCGTGTCCTTGAGACTCAGACAATCTAGCTTGAGATATGTTTTGTGAGTTTTAACAGTAAAATAAACAATCCAAAGAGGTTGTCTGCCTTTTGAACGCGCACAACTGCACGAATCTTGGACCAGTGCAACAGAAACTCGAACAGTATTCTTATCAAACCAATAAATAGAGTCATCATCAGCAGAAATGCACTCATTATAATCGAGACAACGTGAGCTGGTGTGTTCTCAGGTTGAATTGGTTGGTTGGTGCTCTGGTTTCTCTTCTGCTTCATCTTCGCTACCTCAGCATGTCCTTGTGCTTATGCAAAGAAACCACGCTGGATGTCATTGAGGTTATCGTTCGTGTCAAAGAATGTTTAACAGCAGCAATTTGTGCGAGGTAAATTATTTTTTAACCTCAACATATTAGATATTAGATTAATTTTGGCCCTAATTTCCTTCATTATTTTTGGAGGATCCTTGGCTTGAGAAAATGAAAAACTAAAAGCCCCTTAAAAATTTGGAAGTCAACATGCTGACATGATATATCCCAACTGGATTTTAATATCTTGAGTTAAAACAGTAGCTATTTGAGAATATAAATGTGAAAATAGAATTTGACTTTGTAATATCTATCTACAGTATCTACTCTCTCTAATTTAATATGTTGTATGATGTGGTGCCTCTTTTCCTGAAAAGCATTTGTTATGAGAAGGATAAGTGCTTGACTCAGTATGTCCCTCAGGCTAAAGGCTCCTACTGTGGGGTAACACAGCCAGTTGCGGAGTGGGTTAAAGGTTCAGAGCTGTGCTTTGGTCCAGTGTGTGCGAGGGCCGGGGCAGGAAGGGGCTGGAGTGGGGGTGATACAGGCATTCTATTCAGGGGTTGGCTCTGGAGACAAAGACCTCATTCACAGGACAGCCCACTGCCCAAGCAGGGAGGGGCTGCAGTCCACCAGACTAGAGCTCAATACTTTCACTGCGCACATTGCACTTGTCTTATGCAACAAGTGCTCCTATTTCATACTCTTAAAACGTCTGTCTGCACGAGTACACATCGAGTGTCATTGATCTACCTTAAAGAACACACCACAATTTGTTTTGGGATGCTGGTTGACCTATTTTGGAATTTAAAGCTACTGTATATATCTCATAGGACATGAATTCAAGTGTTTTTGGGAAGCCGTGAAGCTTTTTTTAACCAATGAACATTTCACTTTCTAAATGACCAGAAAAGTGTGAACACACGTGAATCATTGCGATATTGAAACAAAAATATTAGTGAAAAAATAGGAAGGACCAATACAAGTCACAGCTTCACCTCACACATCTTTCAATATATCCAAACATTCATGGTCGCAAAATTATAAAAATAATAAAACAAATAGATAGATAGATAGAAAACCACCCTGCCCTTGATAAGAAGTGATGACATATTGCAGCTTGCCTTGTGCGTACACATGCGACATTGGGTTCTTAGTGGTTTCGATTCTGCTTCATCTCCGCTGCCTAAGCATCTCTTCTGTGCTGATACAAAGAGATTTGCACCACCAAGGCTGGTGTCATTGAGGCCATTGTTAAGAGTGGTTATATTCATTCATGAGGAGCACGCCATCAGAACACATTAGAGTTCTACTGCTGTGAGTGACTACACTGACATGCAGTCAATAACCCTTTTAAAACCCAAATATTGGCAGTTTTAAACAGAGATGGGCACTTCACCCTATTTTGCCATTCTGTCCTCCGTCCACGACCTGGGTACCCTTCCGTCATCGTCCCTCCAGCCTTATTCATATAATAATATAATCGTCCTCCGTCCCTGTCCGTCCTCGTCCTTTTAAAAGCACTTCCGTCCCAGTTCGCCACCCCAGATGCCGTGGGAGAGAGGCAAAACGGACGCTCTGTCAATCCTTCCTTTCTCACTGAACTGAGCTATAGTGAATGATAGTGATCTCTAGCGACATATTAAACAGAAACCTCTGTATTTTCTCTTACTAAATGGCTTAAAATTCATGTCCAACTTTACAATATTACCGGTAATCAATACGAGTGTCTGAGTCATGGCAACAATGTATTGTAAAATGATTCTGTTGTTTACTTTGCATGAAGCACGGTCCAATTGGGTTCACTGAAATGTGATGGTACACAGCAGCAGCTAGTCTCTATAAATGGAAACATAATGTTTCAGGCAATTTTACAAAACCCTCAAAATTATAGGTTGCTAGACTTCCTTCTACTGTACTCCCAGCCACTTGCTCCTATGAACTGGTTGGTTCCATCTCAGTCATCAACGTTACGTGTCTTATTTGGTTAATTTACCGGTACCATAAAAGCAGAATACGAATGCATGATCTTCATGAACTTTTAGTACAATGTATATATTTTTGAGGACTTTTTGACACACATAAAACCAAATAAGGCAATTCAAGAATAACAACTTGTTTCCTGTTGGAGTGGAGCATCAGTTCATGAAACTAATGCTGGAGCATAATATACATGTCATTTATTCAGTCTGAAACTTTAAACAACTATTTTCATGTCACAAATATTGTGTAAGAAGCTTTATTTTGGGTAAATTAAGTATTATTTAAAGCACAGATATTGGTGTCAGACGCTCTTCCCTGAAAACCAGTCATGATTGATGTTTCCCTTTTTTGTTTTCCCACATTTAACAAGAATGACTTCTTCCATTTGTGACTTGAGTCAAACCTGCTCACTTTCCACTTTACTTCCGACATCTGTTTGCTGGACATCATAAGAGTGAGGCATGCAGTCATGGCGCTTTTACAACTTGCCTAGAAATTTACTAAGGTATTTGCACTTTTCTCTGAAAAGTTTCACTGAATTGTGCAACTCCTCAGTGAATTGCACATCAAACTTTGACAGTCACTGTCATTTAAAGTTAAAAGCAGAAACATGTGGAGCAGTTAGTGTTTGTGTAAAAAGTATGGCACTGTTTACACTCGTGCTCCAGAGAAGGTCAAGACACTCTTAAAAGTACAAACAAAACATCCAGTGCTTTCTCTCTGGCCGTGTTGTGGTTATCTTGGCTTCTGAAATGGAGCACAAAGGGGACAATTGACCTATTACTTTTCGAACAGAGCAAAGCTTGAGGCTTTTTAAGAGAGAAAGGCAGGATGATAGGCAGATTTTTTTTTTACCTTTGAGTATAAAGAATCAGAAGTCACTCCTAACATGTCATTTTATAGGTTGATCACATTCTTAACTTGCCAGAAGGGATGACCTGTTCCGTATTTCGTGTGTAACAGACAGAAGAGTTATAGTCAAGATTAGCATTACAGTATTTGGCATCTAGTGTTTCCTCCAAATAATCGTCGCTTGCTGAGCTTGACACTGACTATAACTCATCCTTTCTAATACGTCTCCTGCAGGTGTCGACAAGTACACTCAGTTCAACTGTGAAGCTTATAACTCGAAAGGGGTCAGTACATCAAGGGAGGCAAACATCAACATTAAAGGTATGCAAGGAATGCTGATGACAAACATTTTAACAACAAATAACTCGTGGGAGCTATTCCATGCCAAAATATTGTACTCGCAAGCATCATAGCGCTTACTTAACTGTCCAATCACATTGCTGATATGCATGCCGCCTCCTCTTCTCACGTGCATGATATCCACATGGGAGTCAGTCGTTTCAGTGGCGCTTCTGTGCTGTCGGCTATATATTATACATAATTATAGCCTCCTGCAAGTTCAACCAATGATTTCCGGAATTCTTTTTGGAAGACTCAAAAGTTTTTTTTCGTCTTGTCCTTTAACACGTGCACGTTGCCCTGTTGTAGAAAAATGTGTTGAATTTCTGTTACTAACGTTTTAACAGGTAATATATTATTGAAATCCACACAATGTAATTAAATTTGTGCTTTAAAGCAAAAAGCAATACAGTATACGGTACATATGGTATGTTATACGGTAATTGTTACTTTTATAGCATGTTACTCTCAGCGCTTCAGAGGATAAATATGAAGTTATGTGTAATGTCGTGTGCAATCATTGTACGGTCTCATTTTTCATTTTTCCATGTTAAAACACACCTGTAGTTTCTGCTTAAATGATAATTTCCTTGAGCTATATTGTGTGTTGGCCAATGTTAAAAATCGTTTTTAATTATGTTTTGTAGTGCTTCCCAGGACTGTGTCTAATTTGAGTGTGATTGCAAGGGAGTCCAATAAATTGATGTTAAGTTGGGTGCCCGGACATGATGGCTTCTCTCCATTGACCAAGTGCCACATCAGGGTGAGTGTCACATCTGCTCGTTGAAGTGTTAATGCCCCTCAGGTAGATCATTGCGTGTTCTCTGCGCTGTCCAAGTTGAAAAAGGTGAGTCGCAGGATAGGGGAGGTGACGATAACCAGGTTCATCAACGTCACGGTGCCGCCATTCCAATGTGAAGTCCCTGGGCTGCAAGCCATGACGTCTTACAACATGAGTGTTTCCTGCAGCAATGAGGTGGGGACTTCTCCAGTCTCCTCTTGGATCCAGAGCAACACAACAGAGGGAGGTGTGTGACTACCGCAGGACCCATCCCTCTATTTACATGCAAATATAATTCCAGTTAAGGGTGAATGTCATCTGTGTCCTCAGCCATTTCTTTAAGGAACCTGCCATTAATATAATTAGGGTACAATAGTTGACAATGTAATTTTTATTGCTTTGATCCACAACAAAAATCCCTTCAAGGCACTATTCATCCTAAGACTCTCAATTTACTTCAAACGACTATGTTGCAATAGCGTCATCAGCAAAAAAAAAAAAAAAAAGAGGATTAATGCTATTCTTCTTACCCCTGAAATACATTGAATTACATCAGTTTTAAATACCCTGCAGAAGGAGCATGTGGATACTGTCTTAGCTGGTTTCCCTCTGACAAGTTCCTCCAGTTTTCCTAAAGAGACATTTCGGAAATAGGAGCGGTCTCACTGAAAGTGTTCTACAGGGTGGAGTTTCCCTTCAAGGGCCACTGTGGGGGATATTTAACCAGGAAAAGACAACATACCAAGCTGTTATCAAAATTTTAATGGGACATTCCTTGTATAATTGTCTTTTACCCTATATAAGTTATTATGCTGCCATGTTACTGTAATACGAGAATCCATCTGTTATCCAATATTCCCAGTGCCATCAGTGTATCCTCGAAACGTCACCGTGCAGCTGAATGAAACATGGCTGGTGATCCGGTGGAAGCCTCCGCCGGATGATAAAATAAACGGTATACTGCAAGGCTATGACATAATTGTCCGCCATGGGACGCAGGTTAACAAGGTGAGCAATTTATTCTGTTTTTATTTTTAGTTTTAAAAAAACATTAGCTATAGGAAGTTGAGGTACAGCACATCCACACAAACCTTTGCTTTGTCAATTACACTGGGCAGGATTATTCTGTCCAGCACATGCCTACTTGCACTGACAGAGGAATTCAAAACATTCAGAGTATTTCGCATCCTATTAAAGTCATATTTTCATATATAAATAACTAACCGTGAATTGATTAATTGACCATTAACTTTCCTCATGATTGAACAAGGACAGTTAGATACCCACTCCGAATACTTGAACCCTACACAACTTGTATGTGATCATATATGGAAGTGACATGTGTCAAAACAACAGGTTATGGGTGTGTCCTCAACTGAAATGCGGCCACATTATTTCCACAAAATATCCACGCCTTACATATCGATAAAAGTTTTTCTTACTAACAAAATGACAAAGAATGACTAATATGAAGACAATGTGTCCGAGCCAGAGGTCAGCTAATTTATCTGTCAACAAGTGAAGGAGGATAGAAAAGAAAGAATGCAAGCAATGGCATAAAGCCCGTTATTACCTGTTAACAGTGATTCCCCCCGCCCCCCCAACTACGGGTTTATCTGCTGTAGTACTGCAGTAGTGCTTTCATAGACAATGGTATATTTCCTGGTCTTCCTGTCTGTGTGGAAGTTAAGGAAGCCGGTGTGAAAGAAAATTTGTCAATGTTTTTCTTCATTTGGCATGTGGCTGTGAGTCACGTCAAAGTCACTGGAATCTGAATACAACAGGATGTGTATAGTAGGCTTAAATCTCTATTGTTGCGGACGTCACAACTGTGCATACTTATACAAAAGCTTTCCGATATCCGCAGCGACTGGAAGTGCACGCGTATAAATTTAAGCCACACTTGATTATAGTGTCGTAAGTACATGCTCAGCTTTGTGCCACAGACATGACAAAGCGTGTGAATCATGGGTTCTGCTTGGTCTGACGGAGAGTCAGCATATTGGGAGCACAGAGGAACCGCATATGCTACAATAGACTGTTACGAAATACAAGACGCTGTCTGTCACATGGTCACTCCCATTGCAATAGGTCTAAAAGTTTCCTTTTTTTCAGGGCATTATTATGGCCAGCCAGGGCCAAAGTTCTTGTGGGTGAAATTTGGGGTGGAGGTTTATTCCTGTAAATGTGGCTCTTCCTCAAAGGTGTTCTGTTGCAGTTTTTGTGAAAGATCATTCGATAGTAAGCAAAAGGGACTGCAACAAAAGCAATGTTGTGTTTTAAGTTGCCTTTGCGATGCCTCACGAAATGTTCCTGGGCATGCTGATGTTTTACTTGGATATTCATGAATTGCTTTCTTGAACTATTAAACCTGTGACCTTATTTTTCTTATCTCTTCACATGTAATGATTAACATCTAAAAGATAACTGCAATGCAAATTGTAATTTGATTGTGGCACTATTATTTATGTCATTATGTTGTTCAGATCCACAGCTACACCAACACGGCCTATGTAGCGGTGCACGATTTCAACATCACGTACAGTGTGGAGGTGGCTGCATGCACACGTGCTGGAAGCGGGATGGTCAGCCCACGAGTCTGGCTGTTTGTGCCAGAAGACAGTAAGCTACTCTCGTGATTTATTTCCTCTTACTCTATGAACTGCCCCAACCTTGTTTAGTACATAATTGAAAAGGGGGAAAACGACAGTAGAGTCTTAAAATGCAATAAACAAGTTGAAATTTGTTTGGAAAAAAATAGCAACACAAAGCTGACATGCTGCTGTACCTTTTGCCATCTCGCAGAAGAGCATTTCATTTTTCTGTCTGTATGTCACCATACATCACTAGCATTGCTAGGTAAACAAAGATACATTATTTGTGGTAAATATATCTTTTTCAGACAAGTTTAGTGAAATTACATAACATTCCGTGGCACAAATGAAGATCTCACACGGCATATAGGCATTGTTGTTAGGAATAATTGCTCTAAAAAAAAAAAAAAAAAATCTTCAGAGGTAAACCTGCCATCATCATGCTCTGAGTTATACACGTCTCTGTTTGGAATAGAATAAACACAGCAAAGTCAGCCATACAGTGTTTAAGTGAAGTGATACTCACGTCCGAGGTGCAAGTAGTAATTTCACTTTGTACGTGTGAGAGGATGGAGAAGGATGTAATGGACACAGAATAACGTTTTCAGCCATGCATGTCCTTCACTTCCTGCCCATACATGCTGAACAGGGTTTACTGTTTCATGAGGAAGTAAGGTTTTATCGGCAAAACTCCGACTGATATATTCTTATTTTTATGCGTAGGCCTAATATCAGCAGATATTGTATCAATGGCCAGCTGATTTAATGGTCGGGCCCTAGTCTAGTTAATTAATGTTTACAAAAAAATATATCATGTTAGAAGTCATCTGTGTCGGTCACGTGTCATCAAAGGGTGAATATTTTCTATTTACCGGTAGGTTGTTTTGTACACTTGTATGACCGTTAAGAAGGTTGAAATGGTACTTGTTGTCTGTGAAGGTAATGAAAGGTTTTATGATGATGAGAGTTTGACCACGAAACTGATGAATTGAAATGCCATTATTTCTTTTGAAAATCTTATTCTAAATTTGAACAAATAGGAGGTTCGGAATTGAATGAATTCTGTTTGTTCATGCACTGCTTTTAACACTTCCTTTTTTTTATTTATTTATTTTTAATTATTTCTCTGTTTTTAGAATCCGGTCCATCACCGTCCTCAAGCCCCGACACCAAGATTCCAGATGCTGTCAGTGTTGTTCTGGGTGTGGTGTGTGGAATCTGTCTTTTGATGCTTGTCCTCTGGGTGGCTATCTGTGTACACAACAGGACATCTGACTCTTGGCTTGGGTATGCTGAAGACTCAAATTCGATCCAATCATGAAACTCTTTCGAAAGTTGATGATCCTATCTTTGAAATGGTTTTGCTTTTCCTTCCTGTCTTGTAAAGTAATGCTGTTCCATAGTTCATGATGCGAGCTGACTCATCTTTTTACAATTATGAGCTTACGGAGACTTCAAAAAACATGACACGTCCTGATCATAACGTGTCTTCCCTTCCTCTTAATCACAACCCTTTGCACCTGAACTCAATGTATCTGTGCAGCTGCTGGTTTGCAAAAGTTAACGACAAGTCGGCGTACGGTAAAGTCCGTGACTCAGTCTTGCCTCTCAGGATGCAGATAGGATTTTGTCACCACACACATATTCAGGAAAACAGCAGCTGACTCGCAGAAACATCTCAGAGAGTCCATGCTTTGACTGTCTATTGTGAATCTCACCCTGTGTTCACAGAGCTACAACAGCATAATGACCTCAGTGTGCCCAATGATTTCTTTCTCATTATCTTTTCTTTTTCACCGTCTCCCCCTGCAGGCGGTTGTTGGGAAGTGGACAAAAGCAACAGCCAATTGTCCACTACAAGCCTCAGAGATCCTACAATCGAGCTGCGGTTGGAGTAACACGTATGTTTACAAATATATTTTCTTAAGAAAGAAAAAAATCTGTGTAGACTGCGATGTTCTTATGAAATACATAAATGAACCACTTTGTATTTAAATTAATGGGTAAATTTGTATCTTGATTTGCATTGAAGTTTTTTTGGAGATCTAAAATGATCCATCTAAACATTACAACTTTGTCTGCAGTTGTAAACCTGGGTGTCAGCAATGAACTCCATGCCAAATTGCAGGATGTGATGGTCATGAGGAACTTGCTATCAGTAGGAAAGATTCTTGGAGAAGGTGAATGGGAGAAAAACAACCACAGAAAAAAAATAATTTTCATATTGTGAATTTAAAAGTATTTTTTTTCTCCTGTCAGGTGAATTTGGCTCAGTGATGGAAGGTCATTTAAGACAACCAGATGGGACATCGGAAAAAGTTGCTGTGAAGACAATGAAATGCAAGTCTTTATTTGTTTTTTTTAAACAGCAATTTTGTACTGATTTAAATGTAGTAGTAATTTAATAATAATTTGTTTTTGAAACAGTGGATAGCTTTTCCCAGAGAGAAATAGAGGAGTTCCTGAATGAGGCAGCCTGCATGAAAGATTTCCACCATCCTAATGTCATCAGGCTGCTGGGTTAGGAAATACACGTTGCATCTTTTGTGTGTTGTGTTTATAAAAAAACAAAACAAAACGTTTTTGATTAATATTGTGTCCTTTTGTGTGAAATGACCACCCTCTATTAGGTGTGTGCCTGGAAATGAGTGCCGGACACTTCCCCAAGCCAATGGTCATCCTGCCCTTTATGAAATATGGAGATCTACACACCTTCCTGCTGCGCTCACGGCTGGGAGAGAATCCAGTAGTAAGGAATCTGACTAACAATCGAATCGTGGATAATATGAGTACTTCTTACCACGTTAAATTTGCCATCTTGCGTGTTATGCCTCAGTTCTTACCAACACAGACACTTCTGAAGTTCATGGTCGACATTGCCTCTGGTATGGAGTATCTCAGCGGTCGGAACTTTCTGCATCGCGACCTGGCCGCTCGCAACTGCATGTGAGTTATTGGTGTGCCTGTGGTACTTGTTATGCGTGTAATATTTACTTATCATTGTAGATGTTGTTCTTTTGTTGGCGGGGTTTTCTCCCTCAGGCTGCGAGATGACATGACGGTATGTGTAGCCGACTTCGGCTTATCCAAGAAGATCTACAGTGGAGATTATTACCGGCAGGGCAGAATCGCCAAAATGCCTGTCAAATGGATCGCAGTTGAAAGTCTGGCAGACAGAGTATTTACTGTCAAAAGTGATGTGGTAAGCACCCCAGTTAATATGCTCTACATATCCACTGTCAGAGACTTTAGAGCAGGGATAAGCATCATTTTTGTAACTGAGAGCTACTTCTTGCAAATGATTCATGTGAAGCTTAGTACACATTTCTGAATTGAATTTGTTCAAATTATACTGGTCAACAGCAAATTTAATTAGAAGTGGCTTGGTGTCCCCAAATTTTTTATATATTTTTTTTTATGCAGATTTCAAAAATGTCTTTCGTTTTTTTTTTTTTTCCTCAGGTGTTTGAGATTACATAACATGCTTACCGGTACTCTCTTTTTCGTCCTGTCAAAAATGCTGCACCCACCTTTAGAAGTATCGATCATTTTTAAACACTGAATCTTATTTCTTCATTTTAGACAGTTCTACAGTTGAAACTTTGTGGGAATGCTTTTTGGAAGCCCCGTTTCTGTTTCAGCATGCCTGTGCCCAAGTGTACAAAGGCATAAAGGCATGCTTGCATAAATTTGATGTTGAAGAACTAGACCTCACCGCCATTGAAAACCTTTGGGGTGATTTGGAATCAAGTCTGTCCGCTAAAATGGACACAAATTGAGCCGCAAAATGTGGAGCAATTCCATATTTTCTTCCTTTTCCTGAAGCTGTGATGGCCTTGTCTCTCAATAGTTTTGGCAATCTCTACATGTACTTTCCATTGATACCGTTCACAGATAAAATAAAATCAAAATTTGTACCTTCCATTTCATCCTGCAGTGGGCATTCGGTGTAACCATGTGGGAGATCGCTACACGAGGGATGACACCATATCCGGGCATACAGAACCATGAGATTTATGACTACCTCCTTGAAGGACACAGGCTCAAGCAGCCAACAGACTGTTTGGATGACCTGTGAGTGTTTTCTGCTCGGTTCACAAATTTTAACTTGAAATTAGTTGTATTCTTGTTGTTTTTTCCTAAAAGTTATCCTTCATTTTGACTAGGTATGAGATCATGTACAGCTGTTGGAGGGCCGATCCTCTGGACCGACCCCTTTTTTCCAAACTGCGAAAAATGCTGGAAAAAATCACAGAAAGGTTTCCAGAGTCTTTCAGTAAAGAGGATATCATCTACATCAACACCAGCTTCCAGGATGAGAGCCTTGATGGAGAGGCCGCAGAAGATCCTGTGCTCAGCTCTTCACCTTCCTGCAGCCACCAGGGAGCAGAAAGCGCAACAGTTACTGCAGACGTTCACGGGAGCATGGAAGATGACAGTGACGATGGTCGTTATGTGGTGGTTATCTCCCCAGATATTTCACCAAGATCGCCAACACTGGATACTCCTCTTTTGTCGAGTGATTCGTCAAATCGCTCAAACGGCAATATAGTTCCTGATGGTACGCGGACAGATCACAACTCCAGTGATATTTCCCACCTGCTGTAAAGTTTGGTATCAAGAACTTTTAAGGTATTGAATTGTGTTGAAAATTCTCTTGCGTACTAAACATTTTGCACTGAAAGCACCCATAATGTTATTTAGTGTCATAAGCGAATGATGGTTTGGTCAGCTTAGTTTATGTCAATGTTGATGTCAACCTAAAAACATGTTTGCACATAAACTTAGATTTCACTAGACTGTGAAATGGTTTTCTGTAGTATTTTGTTCCTGTTGATGTATATATATATATATATAGTAAAGTAAATAACGTACATAAATGCATATTGTATGCTGTAAGAATAAATAATTTATAGAGTATTTCAGGAGTATTTTTCCTCTAATCAGTGTCATGATTTCAAGGCTCTCCTTATGGTCCCAATAGTGGCTGAAAATATTTTATACAAACCTCAATTCCAATGACATTGGACTGTTGTATAAAACGTAAATAAAAACAGAATACAATGATTTGCAAATCCTTTTCAGCCTATTTTCAGCTGAACACACTGACAGAATGTTATTTACCGTTCAAACTGATGAGCGTTATTGGTATTTTGCAAATAATAGCAGCTCGGGGCCTCGGCGGTCCAATCCTCGGCTACAGAAGATGGCTCTAGGGACGTGGAATGTCAACTCAATTGCAAGGAAGCATCCCAAGCTGGTGTGCGAGGTTGAGAAATTCCGACTAGATATCGTCGGGCTCATCTCCACATACGGTGGGGGAAGCAGTGCACGATCAACACCTTATATAGTGGAGCTAAGGCGCTGCTGACATCAACTTGAGACATTGTGGGTTAGTGGGCCAAATACTCTGACACGTTTTTGCATGAGGAAGCAGAGTCTGGTGATTCAGAGGCGAACTCTCCTATTTCTGGGACTGAGGTCACCTAGGTGTTAAACATCTTTGTGGGCACTTGCCTTTCAATAATCACTGTAAAGTGGTCGTTTTTATGTGTTTTTCCAACGAAGTTAATTTGTTCCTGTGTCTAGCAAAATTGCAAAGCTAAAATTTTTTTGACAATAGCCGGAGAATATAGGGCATGCGTAAAGCAATGCATCTTTGAAATTGAACATACAATACCGACATGTTACACTATTAAAAGCCCAAATGTAATGGCGTTGTCATGGGGCGTCATGTTTTTGTATAGTATTTATGTCAATTTCTTTGAATAAATAATTCCGCATTAGATCAGTACAGGGGGACGACGATGTAAATGAAAAGTGACCTCGCCGAGCTTTCTGTTGTGGTGCGTTCAGGACACCTCGTGAACTAAAGTGTTCACACGTTACAACATGGCAGCTGCTCCAATGAGTACGTGGAGCTGTTTGACAAAGGAGAGTTTCTATACATGGATACTTCTTTATGTGCTCTCAATCGTTACTATAGAAACAGCCGCTGCTGCTCCAGAGAAGGGATTCTGGAAAATTACCGCTTTAAGTGTAAGTAAAGAATCACAAGTTACCATCAGGTACGGCTAGCTGTGGTAGCCGTGTGATGCTAGCTTGCTGTCATTTTAGAATGGTGTCCGGTGGTTAACCTTCCTTGTCTATTTACCGATACACAATTTAAACTCCTGGACGTCGTGTTTGTGTTTATGTGTTGTCGTGAAAGAAATGTTGTATGCGTGGCTGGCTAGCTAGCGCCAGATTGGTATTTAATTGTACAGTACTGTATTATGGTTTCTTCGACCCTTGGGAGAAACCTTAATTAATTTGTGTGTTTTCACGTTTACTTAAACCACTTCATTTGGGGGTTTTAACACCATTAAAATAAAGGAGAGAATCTATTGATTTACGGTATTTGGTTTACAGACCAATCCTTTCTATTGAGTTGCAGTTGCAGACAGTGTGATTGTATTATTAAACTAGAAGGGTGACCTGTCGAGCAAAAATAATGTAAAAAGCCGGCAATTATTGCTGAACGAGTTAGGAACGAGCCTAATCGTGATTATTTTCCTCCTGGCAGTTATCACTATTTCGATTAAATTCATGCTTATCTTTAAATTGTGCTCTAGTGCAATATCCACTCTGCATATTATTTCCAAATATTAAGGCAAATTACATCATACTATAAAAAATTTTAAGCTGTTACTATAAGGACACTAAAAAGGCTATCTGAAGGATGTATTCTTTTTTCAAGATTTTCAAATTGGCTCAATAAAGCAAGAACAATTGCTTGCAACATACATTAAAGACTACATCTGATGTAATGTATAAAAATAATTTGCTCTTCAACAGACCTCAAGACCGCTGCTGTTAAGGAAGTCCATGTTCAAAGACACTAACATTGAATTGAAAGGTGAGAAATGAAAAATTGTCAATCTGACGATTTCACAATTCACACACTCCCAATTTGTTTACTCTTGCTTGTTTGTTTAACTTTGTTGAATGCAGTCGTGTCATTTGGCTGCCCCGAGGAGGTAACATTCACCATTCAATGGTATTTGAAATACTACCCATGCCACAATGATTTCAATAATATTGATGTAAGTATGACTGTATTTAAATATTCTTGGTGGTTGTCCTTACTTGATGACAGGTGAAATTGTTCTTGTCTTGTATAGGAAATATATGAGCGAACGCCGCTGAGTCGCGGGCAGAGCCTTGATCCAAATCCCCTTATAAAAGGAGAGTACATCGAGCACCAACACAAACCTATAACGTGTAACAGTGATGTGCGCTCCTTTCCAATGTTTAAAGTAGGTTGTTGTTGCATTGGTTTAGTCAGTCACTTGCAGTCGTTGCGAATGTCTTAGGATCTCATCTCCTCCCCTTCCTTCAGAAAGCCAAGGCAGAGCCACGAGCTGTCAGTCCACCTGTTGAGGGAAAAGAGTTGGTCAGTAGAATTGGGAAGTCTTCCTTGCATATTTGATAGCAGTTTTATGCTGTTTTCATCTGTGTATTATTTTCGCAACGCTGCAGGATGAAAACGACATCAGATGGATTACTGAAGAGTTCGACAGTGGCACAGTGGCAAATAGCAGCACAGTGGTCAAAAACAAAGACAATGTCATAGCCTCCACATGGAAGGATGGGCCTTACCTACTTGTGGTGAAGATTGTGTCCAGTAAACAAGATGCTAACTGGAACTTAACTTGTGAGGTTTATTTATTTATTTATTTACATATATACATCATGCACATTATTACATTCATCAATACTGAAAACAATGTAGCAACTGTAAAGCTGATGCCACTGAGGGGATTAAAAAAAAAAGATGATTCATCAAAATGAAAACAAATGATAAACTTTTGGAAACAAACATAAAATCCTTTTAATTGAACTGCCCCACTGTTTGAAAATCTCGCGTCATGTAATTTTTTTCCCCTCACAAAATGCTTATGTCATTGTCCTTAAATTAAAAAAAAAAAAAATCTTTTTTCAGTCAATGTGGTGATGAAAGGCCGGCGTGGCTACATTTCCATCACAGAATACCCTCTCATGATTGTAAGTAGACATCATTTTGTATTTATGAACTGTTTGTTCGTTTTAAAACATTTCCACAAACATTTCTTGACAGTTCTACATGGTGATGTGCGTGGTGTACATCCTGTTTGCCCTGTTGTGGTTCATTTGGGCTGCCTGCTACTGGAAAGATATACTGAGGATCCAGTTTTGGATCGCAGGGGTCATATTCCTGGGGATGGTGGAGAAGGCGGTCTTTTGCGCTGAATATGAAAACACCAACATGGTTGGCTCTGCCTGTGAGTGTTCACTGAAATTCATCATTGACAGGTAAACATTTCCCCCCCGTTGTCGGTAACGGTCCCGCTGTTTGGGTTCTTCAGCTCCAGGCCTGCTGATTTTTGCCGAGCTGGTCTCGGCCCTCAAGAGAACGATAGCCCGCTTGCTCGTCATCATCGTCAGCCTCGGCTATGGCATTGTAAAGTATGTCAACATATCTGTACACACTGCTACTGATTTCAAATGAACACGTTTGTTCGTTCTGAACCCTTTACTGTGGGTCTGCATCCTCACAGGCCTCGATTGGGGACAGTAATGCACCGAGTGATTGGTCTCGGTGTTCTCTACTTTATCTTTGCTGCCATTGAAGGCGTACTGAGGATAACTGGGGTGAGACTCGGCCTAGTTGTGTGACTTTTTTTGTTTTCTTTTCAGGTAACAAGTGTTCCAACTTGATACTGTCTTAACAACAACAACTCGTAATCGAGTGGAGGAGTGGTTTGTAGTTCACTTATGTTCAGTGTTTTATCCCCTCCAATATCCTCAAATATTGCTAACACATTTTACCCTTTGGGGTCAATTACAGAGAGACAACAGGAGGGTCAAAACTCTCATTTATCAGATGAGAATGCCTCAAAATCAGGGTCCTCCTCAACACAATCCTCTGTCTCAGACGCATTCTCCTCTAAAATCACTTTCATTGGCAAAGAGTTGTTCCAAAACCTCATGGACAGTAAACCTTTTCCCACAGGACATTTTCAAGTGAGAGAGAATGCAGATTGCAGTATACACAAAGCACAATGTGGAATGATTTGGATAGTGGGCTGTTTTGCAAGCTTCTATCTTTGCTCCGCCCTTATCTTGCATTAACTACCAATGTCCTTGTGGGAAACTATCAAAAGTTCTCGCATAAATAGTTATTGTCCCCACCTCCTGTGATGTATCAACTTTGCACCCGCAGGTGTAAGGGTTTTAGGTCACACACACATTGACACCTTTTCTGCATTTAAACTAGCTTGACCCCTGACGATCACCAATATGTGTTCAGGACATTGAAAAAATAGCATCATGATCATTTTATGCTTCATCAGTTGTCCCCATTAAATGAGGAAAAGTCATGAAATATGGAGCATTATTGCTTTTTTTGAAAGATAAACATTGAATGGGGTCAAATTGACCCCAACGATAATAGTAGAGTTAAATAAGAATCCGAATGTCTTTTCTTCCCCCCCAAAGGGTCGAGACAATGGCCCAGCTCTCATTACAGCAATTATTCTGGCTGTTCTCGACTCGTTCATCATCTGGTTCATATCCTTTCATTGTTTTACTCTCAAAAGTCAACTCGTCTCTGCTAAACTGTCATTGCTGTGGCCTAACGGGTTCCTTTCATGCACTTCTGTGAGCGGTTCTGTTTACTCCTCTTCCTTGTGTCCACATGTGATTGTCCCATTCTGTCCCTCTTTCCAGGCAAAAGACTCTGACTTGGCCCTGCTAGCCAACATTCCCTTGGCTCTGCTTGACTCCTCTCTATGCTGGTGGATATCCTTCTGTGCACATATTCCTTTCCCTCTGCCTCCTTTGCTTTAGAAGCTCTTAGACCAAGAGCAGCACATGCACAGTTGTCTCTCTGGGCAAGACATAGCAACGAATATGACAAAGCAACGCTCTCTCTTGAATTTGAATTAAACCCTAAACTTATTCATCTTGTTGCCACTAGTGACATCTCTTGGTCTAAGATGATTTGCCCGCATTCTTCTCCAGCCTTTAAAATGCCTCTGCATGCCACCGCACTCACTAACCTCAACCTTCTAGGCACACCTGTATCAAAAACTCTGCCTTTACAAAAGTAGGAATACTCCGTTTTAATTGGCATAGTCAGACAGGTATTTATCTACAATGTGTTTATTATTGTGGCTGTAGAACTGCATTGCATTACAGGGGGACAATTAGAAAAACAGCGATGTGGTAGTTCAATTGTTGATTCCAAACATAAGATTAATAAAAGAAAATAAATACAAGCCTGTTTTACAGTGTAAAATAACTCAAACTTAGTGACAGTGTCTTACACACCGCATTCCAAATTCTGAAAATGTTTTTCCCAGGCTTTTACGGTATGCCGGAACTCCAAGCAAATGACACTCAGTGTAATTTTAAAGTCATCAACCATGAAAGAATAATTTGACTGTTTTTAAACAACCCCCGTAATGACGCCAGTATTTTTTATTTTTTTTAGAACACTTTTTTCCCCAAATGTACTGTTCCCAAATTTTATGCACAGCAGTGATTCACAACAATTTATAAGGTTTGTAAAGAAATGAAAATAGTGTATCCATACATAATCGAAACTGCTTTATCCTCACAAAGGTCGCGACTGTGTGATATTGTGTCGGGGAGAAAAAAAACTTGATGTTTTTTCTTTTTATAATTTTTTTTATAACAGGTACAGTTTATGCAGTATACTGCTTTGCTCAATTGACTAAATTTCACGGTCATTTTGGTACAGTTAAACCTCATTCCAAGGAATTGAAAGCATAAAGCACCAGCATACGCACTATTTCCAGATCATTGTCTGTACCGTTTGTCCTCTTAATGTTTTCATTTCCATTTAATACAAAATATGGAGGTTCGTTTTAGTTGAGTTGTGCATTTGCCTTGACTGCCAGTTACATATTTGTCAGCCTGGCTCAAACCATCAAGACTCTCAAGCTGAGAAAAAACCCAGTGAAGTTGTCCCTCTACAGGCACTTCACCAACACACTCATATTTGCAGTCATCGGTGAGTCGAATAGACAACGCCTATCCACGCATGTCCATGTGTAACAGTTACAGTCGTAATTTTTCGTCCATCAGCTTCCATCATTTTCATGGGTTGGACAGCAAAGAAATTCCGTCTTGCCGATTGCCAGTTAGTGAGTATGCTTGGCATAATTGTATTGATTTCATTGAGTAAGATGCTAAAAATATTTTTTTACACGCTGACTTCATTTGTGCTCAGGATTGGATTGAGCTGTGGGTGGAAGATGCTTTCTGGAGGTTTTTGTTCTCCCTCATTCTACTTGTCATAATGTTCCTATGGAGACCGTCTGCAAACAACCAAAGGCAAGTACTTATCCAGCACAGCCCTATACCCTGTTTGTCCCCAATCCCTCAACCCCCCTTTTTATTCTCTCCCCCTCATTGAATGTCAATACCCACAGGTACGCCTTCACACCTCTCATTGACGACTCCGATGATGAGGAAATCGAGGAATTTATTGCCTCTGCAAACATCGGTGCGATAGCCTAACACTGAGCTTGGCTTAATCGTGTGATGCGCTGGCTCTTCTCCTCTGTTAACGTCTCGTTTTCCTTCCACAGCCGGCATTAAACTGAGAGCCACAAAAAATGAGACAAATGGTTTCGTGAAATCACAGGACACAAACATGGTCAGTAATGCATGTGTAATTGTTAAAATGAGTCATGTTTGTTATTACAAAAGCGTTTCCCAAAAATCGAATTCTATTGATTCAGTTAAAAGGCTTTACTGTTTTTGTAAATGGATCATAAGTTAATAAACATGGTGCATGTTGATATTGTGCCTACATATGCTGTACTTTAGGAAGTTGGGCCTCTGAGGAGAAAGCAAATGTATGATTTGGGACTTGAACTGAAAACATTTGGGAAAGCCTGCGATTTAGCCACAAGGGCTTTGCAGTCATAAGCGCTTTCCTACAGGCGGCAGTGTTGACTTTTTTTGTCTCTGTCCAGGAAGAAGACTTGAAGTGGGTGGAGGAAAACATTGCAAGCTCTCTCACTGATGTGTAAGTCATTCAATGAAGATAATGATTCAGTTTAGCAACATGTTTTGAATTAATGAGATTTAATCGGTTGAGTGACATTCAAACCGTCATTATGTCTTTTCAGAGCTCTGCCGGTCTTGCTTGACTCAGATGAGGTATTCCATTTTAAATCTATGCACTTGTGCTGTATGTCAAGTCAGGAATGAATTCTTAGTTATTAATTAAAATATTAAAGTTACACCACTGTCATTACTATCTAGGAAATCATGACGACCAAGTACGAGATGTCCAAGCTGGAATGAGGAAAAACATTTGAAGCTCTCAGCTTGGAAGATGAGCAGCTCGTCGTGACTCTGCGGCTGTCTTTAGTGCAGAATGACACCTTATTGCAGGTGCCAAGCCATTGGGGCGCTTGACTATTGCCCTTTTTTTTCTCCCCCTCAACAACTGGTTTCTCTCTACACGACAGAATCAGTTTGAGCCTTTCTTTCCAAAGAGATGACATTATTTAATATTACGTGTTGTATTTATTTGCATAATGTCGACAAGAGTTTTTTTTTTTTTTTTTTTTTTTTTTAAAATAAAAAAAGAGGGGCCCCTGCACGC